TTCATTATCGGTATTGGAGGTGATCGAGTCGAATTGGATTGGTTCTAGATGGAAATGAGACTCTTGGTCTCTTTAAGGAAAGCTTGTTTTGGAAGAGTCAACCGGAAGTTGACTATTTAGTTAGAGGGATCGGATGTGAATTCCGGTGATTCGGTTAGCTTCGGGGGATGATTTGTGACTTAGGAGTGCGATCGGAATTGAATTTGGAGGTCCGGTGTAGAATTAGGCGTGAATTGACGAAGGTTGGACTTTGGCGAATTCCGGTTAGTAAGTGAGATTTTGATCCGCGGGTCGGAATGGAATTCCGAGAGTTGCAGTAGCTTCGTTAGGTGATTTTGGATGTGCGGGTAAAATTTCAGGTCATTTGGACGTCGTTTGGTTGGGTTTTTGATCGAATGTGAGTTTCGGAAGAATTTGATAAACTTAGGCTTGAATCCGTGGTGAATTGATGATTTTTGTGTTGTCTGGCGTGTTTTGATGATTGGAACAAGTTCGTATGAGGTTTTTAGGTTGTGTTGGTGTTTTGGTTGAGGTCCCGGAGGCCTCGGGGTGAATTGGAGTGGTTAAAAGAGAGTTTTTGAAGGTTTCTTCAGGTCTGATATTGCTGGTATCTGGTATTTTCGCTTCTGCGGAAATGGACCGCAGAAGCGGTTCCGCAGAAGCGGGTGAGCGATCGCAGAAGTGGTCAGGCATGGGCTAGGGTAGTTCCGCATAAGCGGAAGTTGGTCGCTTCAGCGGGTCCGCATAAGCGGACAATGTACCGCAGAAGCAGTTTTGAGAGAAACCGCAGAAGCGGAGTTCGAGTCGCATAAGCGAAGTCTGGATTTTTAAGTGAAGACCGCATAAGCGGATTTTTGGCCGCAGAAGCGGTCCCGCATAAGCGGAAGTGGGACCGCATAAGCGAAAATCGCTGTTGGCAGAAAGGTTTAAAGGATTTATTTCATCCGCGAGCTCCACCATTTTTCCTCCATTGTTGAGCGAGCTTGGGAGCTATTGACGCGATTTTGTGAGGGTTTTGACTGGGAATAAATTGGAGGTAAGTCCTATGGTCTAGAAACATCATTTTTATTGAAGAATCTACCTTTAATTCTTGGAAATTGAGTAAAAATTTGGAAGAACTAGGGCTTAGGTTTTGGAATGAAAAATTGGGATTTGAGGGGGCATTTGAACTCCGATTTTGGTAAATTTGATATGTATGAACTCGTGGAGAGACGAGGAATCCGGTGATGCAAATTTTGTAATTTTTCGAGAAGTGGGCCCGGGGCTCGAATTTTGCCAACTTCGTGATTTTTGATAATTTTCGAGTCTTTTCGATTGGGTTATGCTCCCTTAGCCCATTATGATGTATTCCTTGTGGTTTTGACCAGATTCTACGCACGAGGAGGTTGATTTGCGAGGCAAGCGCAAAGCGAGCTAGGATTTCGGCCGGCTTGAGGTGAGTAACAGTTATAAATGACGTTCTGAGGGTTTGAAACCCCGGATTTGCACTATGTGGTGCTATGTTAAGGTGAAACACACGCTGTATGATGAGCATGGGGTTGTTACTGCTGGGGATTCGGACTCGGTCCATCCCGATTGATGACTCTACTGTATTTTTAGCTGAGACTTAATTAATATCAGTATAATCTGGTTAATTGCCATGTTTGGGGCCTTGTGCCGATCTGTAGAACCCTTAGGGGGTACTTTGTACTAGTTGACTTCACTTCACTTGTCAAAATCATACCCTCAGTCATGTTCTTATCTGTTAAACATAATATGAACCGGCTTTGGAAATTGGCAATCCAAATGAGGAACACCTGGGGTTGGAAACCCTGTCTTAGCTGAGTGGGCCCGAGAGGCCAAGTCTATATTGACTNCGATATGTGGGCTGGGATCCCTATCTTAACTTAGTATGCCCGAGAGGCTGTGTTTATAGTAACTGAGAGGGGTTGAGAACCCCATAGTGAGGGTATTTGATATGTTATGGATCGGGCTGCACGCCGCAACAGTATATATATTTATGTGGATCAGGCTGCGCGCTGCAGCAGTACATTCATATGGATCGGAATGCACGCCGCAGTAGTATAGCGCTTGCGCTGTAGGGGCCCCTCCGGAGTCTGCACACCCCCAGTGAGCGCAGTCGACTATTATTATTGGATCGGGCTACACGCCGCAGCAGTATATATTATTATTGGATCGGGCTGCACGCCGCAATATATATATATATATATATATATATGGATCGGGCTGCACGCCGCAGCAGTATACTGTACGGACCGGGCTGCACGCCGCAGCGATATAATCATACTTTCGGTTATTGTGAGAAGTAAATGAGTTGAGTACTGGCTTAAAGGATTTTTACCTGACTTCTTCATTTTTTTGTTGTTTAAATGTTCTTTCTGCTTTGATATAGAATTGCCTAGTGCTTTTTACAAGATTTCTTTCCGTCAGTCATTATTTATTGCTATTACTCACTGAGTCGGAGTACTCATATTTCTCCCTGCACCATGTGTGTAGATACAGGTATTCCAGAGGCGTAGATTGAGCTATCTCTGCTATTCAGATCTCACCGGAGTCATCGAGGTAGCTGCATGGTGTCCGCAGACCCGATTTCTCCCTCTATCCTCTTTACTTTCAGTATTTTAGACTATCTTTTGTTTAGGCTGATTCTCAAACTGTATTAGAGGCTCTTGGCTCGTGACACCGGATCGGTGGGCTTTGTAGTGATGATATTACGTTTTCTGCACATTGTATTCACTGTTTCAGATTTATACTTATGTTAATTTGGTATTTTAAAACCATGTTAATAGGTAATGAACTCTATATGAGGGATTGAAAGTGTTGATTTGGTCGGGCTTGCCTAGTATCGTGTTGGGCGCCATCACGACCAGGGTTGGGGTCGTGACAAGTTGGTATCAGAGCCTAGGTTACTAGGTCTCGCAAGTCATGAGCCGATTTAGTAGAGTCTCGTGGAGCGGTACGCGGACGCCTGTATTTCTCCTCGAGAGGCTGTAGAACCTTTAGGAAAAATTCCACATTCTTGAAATTCTTGTCNACTTAACGAAGCTACAACAACTCTCGGAACCCCATTTCGACCCTCAGATCAAAATCTCACCTATCAACCGGAATTCGCCAAAATACTAACTTCGCCAGTTCAAGCCTAATTCTACACCAGACCTCCAAAACCAATTCCGATCACGCTCCTAAGTCATAAATTACCTAACAAAGCTAACCAAATCATAAAAACTCTGATCCGAGCTCATATACAAATAAGTCAACTCTTGGTCAAACCTTTCAAATTCAAACCTTTCAACTAAAACTGTTCTTTCAAATTCATTGCAAAATTTCCTGAAAACCAAAACCAACGATCTACATTAGTCATAATGCATAACACGGGGCAAGTCATGCCCAGGAACTGGCGATCAAGGTGCAAAAGCTCAAAACGACCGGTCGGTGGCTGCACGCCGCAGCGATATATGGATCGGGCTGCACGCCGCAGCGGTTATTATATATATATGGATCGGGCTGCACGCCGCAACGGTTACTATATAGTACCTATTGAGCGTGCGTGCTGAGTGTGAGCACTGACTGGTAAGAGTTGAGTCACGAGTGGCAGAGAGACTAGCCCGAGGGGCGATAACTATATACATGCAAATGAGTGATGTTTGCCTGAGAGGCCTGTTTATGAACTTGTTGATTTTCACTCCTTTTTTTTGTGAGTTTCTATCGAATATGTTGATTTATCGACTGCTTTCACTCTTCTTTATACTGAGCCTCTGTCGGAAAGTTGAACAAATATTTTCAAAACAACCTTTATTTTAATTGGGGTTTATGAGATGTTTAGAAACTAATCACTGATTTGGCATTTGGTTATTTCCACCAAGATTTTCCGGTTATGAAGTGTTTATGAATATTGTTTTGCCCGAGGGGCTGTTTTATGAACTATGCTTTGTCCGAGGGGCCGATTATGGCTTTAATCGCTATTATTCTTTTAAATGGTATTGAACCCCTATTGAAACTGCTGGAAGGTATTTCAAAATGATTTTTACTAAAAGTTGGGTTTTAAAAGGAGAGGTTGACTCGTATTATGATCCGAAAGCCTGTTGTGTTTATTGAGCCTAACGTGAATGTGGATTCATTGTTTCCTACTGCTCAGTCTTTATTTACTCTTATTACTTACTGGGTTGGAGTACTCACATTACTCCCTGCACCTCGTGTGCAGATTTAGGTATATCGGAACCTGGTCGCGGGTGTGGATTGGTTCAGGCGCGGAGCCTTCAGAGTTAGCAGGTGGCTGCATGACGTCCGCAGCACCACTCCCTTTTGGACATTGCTATTACTGTATTTAGTACATTATTTTAGACTTGTCGTTGTATTCAGACCGGGATAGATGCTCATGACTAGTGACACCCCGATGTCGGGCTTGTATTTTTATTTCGCATTGTTATTTTCAGAAGTTGTTATGAAACATTGTTTAATTAAAGGCTCAAAAATGATTTTTAATGCTTAAAGGTTGATGTGAGTGTTGTGTCGGCTGGCCTTGTCTTCACGAGAGGCGCCATCACAACCGGGCCGGTTTGGGGTCGTGACATCTTCAAATTGAGCATCTACTGCTGGAACCCAAGATGGCCCACCTAAAATACCAATATCTGGGATCCTGGGACTCATGCGGGGGCTAACTTGCAACAACTTCAAAATAAGCACCAAAATTGCACTATCCATTACTTTCTTAGACATGCTTCTCATTATTCATTAAAACACCTAACAGAAGAAAACTTGAAATTGCACCATCGGGTAATATGAGAGAGGAATAAGTGTCGTGGTTCCAACTAATCTGCCATCATCCTCTGATAGGAGCATGATCATATTAATTAACTGCTCAGACCATCTTAGATGATTGATCATTTTTTACATTAGCAAACTCTTCACCTTATGCGCTGAAGGACAAAATTTAGATTTTTTGAAGTAGGAATTCATCTTTCAGACACATCCCAAGGCAAAATTTGCACATATTGAAAATATTGAAGATGAATTTAATTTTTTACCAAGTTTTATAGGTGGCTTTATGAATAATCTAGTTCTAAGAAGTTATACAAACTCGAAAACAAAATAGTGCAATGACCAAAGCAACTGAGACCTTTGGTGACTACATCAAGTTGTGTGCTAAAGTATACTAGATATAGAAGAATTAAAGCTGAGGGTCTATCGGAAACAACCTCTCTACCTTCTCAAGGTAGGGGTAAAGTCTGCGTACACACTATCCTCCCCATACTCCACTTGTGGGATTACACTGGGTTTTTGTTGTTGTTGTTGTTGATATAGAAGAATTAAATATTCTAAAATGTATTCAAAGCCAAACTAATGGACTTACTTCTCCATACGGCACTCCAGGTACTTTCTGGAGAGGTGTCTACACTCCTCGGATTTATGCCCAGCAGATTTAAGACAGTTGAGGTATTCCTTCTTCTCCTAAAATAGACCAAAAAGAACAGAAAATAAGAAAAAGGAATTGAATGTCCCACGGAAAACCTATGCTCTATCACGATGAATTTCCATCTTTCTTAGCAAAAATAGGAAGCGAGATGCGGAAGGCAACACCAAAATAAATTAGCTATGAGAGTTTTAAAAGGAATTTACCACGTCACATAAATGCATGTGATCCAAAGGAAAAACTCCTTTTTCTGGTGGAACGGGTCTCAGTCCTCTATTTCCTCCAAATGCTCCCCCTTCAATGAAGTGAAATAAATATTTGAAAGACGAGTAAAGAATTACGAAACAAATACTCATAAAAATTGGACCAAAAAGCATGCTGCTCCCTCTGGTTTAGGTTGTTGCACATTACATGTGGCTTTGGAATAGGCTCAACCTCCTTGTGCTTCCAAAGAAGAAGCTTTTATACTACTATCACTTAATTAGTTTGAATTGCTTATTTAGCTTTGTCCCTCCAGAAATGCCTTGAAATGTCTAAAATGCCTTTGCATTGTGTTTTTTCATAGTAAGGCATTTGAAAAACTTTTTGCTTTCTAGAAAGAAAAGAATACAGTATTTACTATATTAATTCCAACTTCCTATCAAAATATCATCCTCTTGGCTTCCAGTTTTGTTATTTAAAAAAATGCCGCAAGTTTCACAATGAGGACAAAGAATCATACCATAGTTGGTGAAATAAGAGCCAGGATTTCTTTTATAACGACAATCTTGTACACACCACGACTAATCACTAGGTACTGCTACTTCTCACCAACAAAGTTAATGGGTAACTCTATCCACCAAAAGCTTAGATAGATGGGAATAAGTAACCTAACCTTTTTAGCTTACTATGATGTGAACCCTAGTCTTCCATGGTACATTGATTCTGTTATGAATGAAAATAACATCTTGGAGGACATATTGGTAAATTTAGCAAGTTATGTATGGGACCCGGGTTAGAAAATGGTTAAATACCACTAGGTTAGTAAAAAGGGTATGCATATTGTTGAGTAAAAGGTCTGCTTCTCATTTCTTTCTCTGAGTGTCTGTATTCTCTCATCTCCTTGCTCTGAGTCTGAGCTTCTCACCTTTCTTCTCTATCTTTTGCATTTCAGTTTAGTATCTCTAATTCCTGTAATAGTCTTGAGTTGAGTTGTAATTTCTTGTCACTGTTGAAGTAATAGAAGTGTTGAAAAACTGGTTTGTTACATAGGTGCTTTCATCGATTCGAACTTCAATGGCAGCAGTGATACTAGATAAATTCAGCAATGGTAACCCAGAGAGCTGGGTTTATTGGGCGGAGCGTTACTTCAAATTCCTTGGCTTCTCCGAGGAAGACTGGTTACCTCTTCCTTACTTCTACCTTGAAGGTGAGGCCCTCGCTTGGTTTGATTGGCTACATCGTAACAAACAGTTCTACGAGTGGAACCACTTTAAGGAGAAATTGTTTTTGCGATTTCGAAAATGGACCTTCGCAGATTCCAATAGGAGTGTGGTTGATTCGTCCCTGGCTTATCCTCACGACGTTAGTTATGCTACTTTGTGTTCGTCTAAAGCCCAGGTATCTCCCTTCAGGTCCAACTTCTATGGGTTAGAATCTACACTCAAAGTGGGAAACTCAGAAGCGAAGCATGTGTTCGATGAAATGCCTACTAGAGCTTTCGCCAAAGCAGTGAATGAAACTTCTTCTGTTAAAGCAGCGTGGAAAAGCACAGATGCCCACGTCTCTATTTCAAACTTTGCTGCTGATTTGAACGATAATTAAAACGGCAACTTCCAGCATTCATTTTCCTTCCACAGTGGGTTCAATCCCTTATCTACCCGTCCTTAAACTTCATGCTTCTGGTGCCCTATTCTATGATGGGGACAAGTCCGCCATTGACGAAGACAAGGTGTTTGATGACAGTTCCAAGTCGACCACGACTGCTGTAACACATGATGATATTTCAGAAATTTATATTTCCCCTATGGTCGATGAAAAACGATTTGGAATCGTTGAATAAGCCTGCAGACTTAGTAGACGCAACAGAGGATCTTGATTGTAAAGCTAAGTTGATGCAGGAAGGTGCAAATGCATTTTCTGCTATTCCCTTGGCAGTGCCTTATGGACAGAGTGCTTCTAATTTTTTCGAGCTAGAACACTTAATCGAGCCGGACAGCAACACAATTCCCGTACCCGATGGTGTTGCTCATACAGAAACGCTAGGTCCAAAACTCAGCAATGGCCAAATGTTCGACAAAATTTCTGGATGGAATGAAACAGGCTCACTGATTAGCTTTCAGCTTGCAGACACCAGGACAACATTTAAGTACGTATTGGATCATGGTGGTAAACTGGTTTCAACTTTCAATCAATTGTTACTAGTTAAGGATTGCGTAATTCGATTCCCATTCGATCCCGGAGCGGATCTATTCATTGTGAACCTTGGTGGACCTGTTACTATTCTTGGCGAGAATTTTAAGACCTTGAGTCTAACCAGTCATACTGAGTACATGCAGGCACCACTATTGATGGGATTGACCGGCAAGTTTTGCTCATTCGCATTTTCTAACTTTACGAATAAAGTGTGGAATCACGAACAAAATGGTATTTACATTCCTACATTCTGAAATTTAATTAGATACTGACAGTTACATCTCCAACTTTTCATCAGTATTATAGTGCCGAAAAAGATCCTTCATCCGACTTGATAGAGTTGAAACCGGGTGCTGAAGTGGTAGTAAACAAGGTGCCGAAGTTGTTCGATCAAAATTTTCAAAAGACCAACACAAAGTTTGCAAGAACTGGCACATGGAATATAAGCGATGACTTATACTAACAATTAACAACCAGTCAAGAGTTGAGCTCAATGACTTCCAGGTCTGCATTTGGGTCGACACAGGGCAAAGAATCGAGGTTGATAGTTTTTGTTTTGACTTGTTTATAAACAACAGGCAAGATAGTATATGTGCTAAATATGAATGGCGGTACAAGGCATCAAACTATCAATTTTACTTAAACAACAACGAAAGGAATGTGGATGCACGTGGTGGAAGTCGCTATTTTGTTGGTAGTGATGATGAAATAATCAACACCGTGACAACCTGTGAGGGTGAAGATAAAGCATGTTTTGAGCAAAAGATTGGAGAAATGGATTCAAGGCTTGACAAATTTAAGAAGGAGTTGAGAAAAGTCGCTGCCCTTGAAATTGTTCATTATTCAGTGATATCTGAGCATGAATGTTCTGTCTACAAACTGCACATATCTGCCAGGCACCTTTCTAAACTTTACCATCATGCTTGTAAATATTGGTGTCTAGACAAAAGAGCTACAATTGCTAAAAATATTGTTTCTAGCCTTGTTTTAGTTTCCATTATCCTAAGAGAAATGCTTTCCAGAAGGATCTGAAGAGATTATATCCTGTTGTCAATGGATGGGTGATGGAACAATGTGTTGCCAGACTAGATGGGGTTAAGTTCAATATGGTTTTTCATGAGTCAGCTTGTGAGATCACAATTGTTGCTCTATATCTAATAGCTGACTCAAAGGAGTTGCATATTCCAGCATTGTGCTTTGCAACATTATTCTCATGGGAACTGTTTGATAATTTCTTATTGATGTAACACCTGATCCACATTCAAGTCTTAGTATAATCATCGCTATGATATCAATGTTGTTCTACTCGAACCTTGAGGACAAGGTTCTTATTGAGGATGGGGGTATTGTTATGAATGAAAATAACATCTTGGAGGACATATTGGTAAATTTAGCAAGTTATGTATGGGACCCGGGTTAGAAAATGGTTAAATACCAATAGGTTAGTAAAAAAGGTTTGCATATTGTTGAGTACAATGTCTGCTTCTCATTTCTTTCTCTGAGTGTCTGTATCCTCTCATCTCCTTGCTCTGAGTCTGAGCTTCTCATCCTTTCTTCTCTATCTTTTGTATTTCAGTTTAGTATCTCTAATTCCTGTAATAGTCTTGAGTTGAGTTATAATTTCTTGTCACTGTTGAAGTAATAGAAGTGTTGAAAAATTGATTTGTTACACTATATCAGGGGCGGCTCTACGGCTAGGCCGGTGAGGAACTGGGGATTTACAACCGTACTCTATATTTGCATCACCTTTTAACCTGTACCCTATTTTAAAAATTATTGATTTAGTAGCCAACTAATAAAAAATTTGTAATAATATGATAATTACACCCCTGACATCACGCATTAATCGTGTGATTTGCAACCCCATTCGTGAAAAAAGATCTCTTCCTCTCCTCTCAGCAACTTTATCAAAAAACCTGAAACTTGTCCAAATTTATCTTCAGAATCACACTTGCATGAAGTTGTTTCACATTGAAGCTAAAAATTCATGCTAATGTTGCATGAAGTTATTTCACATTGAAGCTAAAACTTCATGCTAATGCATGCTGAAGTTATTTATCCAGCAGCCTACAATTTTGTCATGAGTTTTATCCGAAACTTCAGTCTAAACATGCTGAAGTTATTTAGTTCATTTGCTACAACTTCAGACTGAACATGCTTAAGTTATTTAGTTCATTTGCTAAAACTTCAGACTAAACATGCTTAAGTTTTTATCATGCAGTATGCAATTTTCTAAAGAGTTTTTGCTAATGCATGCTGAAGTTATTTAGTTCATTTGCTAAAACATCATACCAAAACATGCTGAAGTTTTGTAACGCAATTTACAGTTTTGTCCTGAGTTTTATCCGAAACTTCAGTCTAAATAAGCTAAAGTTTTTTAGTATTTGCTAAAACTTCATACCAAAACATGCTGAAGTTTTGTAACGCAGTCTACAGTTTTGTCCTGAGTTTTATCCGAAACTTCAGTCTAAACAAGCTGAAGTTTTTCAGTTCACTTGCTAAAACTTCAGTCTAAATATGCTTAAGTTTTTGTCCTGCACTATGTAATTTTCTAATTTTTTTTTCTAATACATGTTGAAGTTATTTAGTTCATTTGCTAAAACTCTATACTAAAACATACTGAAGTTTCGTCCTGCAGTCTACAGTTTATTAAAGAAGGGCAAAATCATCTTTTTAAAGCGCTTTTAACTAAAAAATGGGTACGGATGCAAATGAAAAAAATAAAACGGGTATAAGTTAAAAAGGGGCGACAATAGGGCACCCCATGCAATTTTTACAGAGAAAATCTCACTTTATACCCATCAATTCTAAACTATTTACCCTTTAATGCCCAGGCCCAAACTATTTACTACTCCTACCTATGGGACCCAAATTATTTACCCGGTTATTCCCTAATAATATGAACGTGCGGCTTATCCCCCAGCTCAACTGCTTCTCCAACTCGTTATCGTCACTAATCTCTGACAAAGTATAATTTTTTACAGCTCAAACATCGTTGACTTGCTAATTCCCCTTTGCTTGCTGAAGACAGAGGAAATAGGAAACTACATTTTAGGTGTTTTTCCACGCCAATCAAAACCTTAATTTGATCAGTGCCTTCAGGTGGTTTTTCTTGTTACTTCTCATACGCATTGTTAAGTTACTCTGGACCTCTGCATTGAAAAGATTTTGTGTGGTAATTATTGATATGATTAACTCGGACATTTTCGATTTTGCTAATAGAACCTGCAAAATTGTGGGTCCCTACGAGTTGAATCGAGGGACATTTTGATTTTTGCTAATGTTGTTGAATCTTTTTTTGGGTGATTGATCAAATGATTTTTAGTTACTATAATGATTGATCAATAATATGAGGGAGTAATAAACTTTGCATTTGAGTTGAGGACTAATACCTTCTGGAAGTTCATACTGAAATTTGATCACAGTTGGAGCTGATTTAAAGTGATCGAGATAGAAATTTTAGCTGAAAATCGAAAAAGGACACAGTTATCCAACAGTATACTACTATGGTATACAATATGTTGTAGAAGTATATAGCTATACTACAATAGTATACTGTTATAGTATATAATATACTACAACAGTATATTGTAATAATCGAAAAAGAACACAGTTACCTAACAGTATACTGCTACAGTATACAATATACTATAGGAGTATATAGTTATACTGCAACAGTATACTATTATAGTATACAATATATTGTTGTAGTATACTGTAATAATTTGCAATATACTATAACAGTATGCTGTAAAAGTATACTTATTACCCGTAAATTTACTTGCCTTTTCCCTTTTAATTTGCTTTAAGCTTTTNTGTGAGGGTGAAGATAAAGCATGTTTTGAGCAAAAGATTGGAGAAATGGATTCAAGGCTTGACAAATTTAAGAAGGAGTTGAGAAAAGTCGCTGCCCTTGAAATTGTTCATTATTCAGTGATATCTGAGCATGAATGTTCTGTCTACAAACTGCACATATCTGCCAGGCACCTTTCTAAACTTTACCATCATGCTTGTAAATATTGGTGTCTAGACAAAAGAGCTACAGTTGCTAAAAATATTGTTTCTAGCCTTGTTTTAGTTTCCATTATCCTAAGAGACCATGCTTTCCAGAAGGCTCTGAAGAGATTATATCCTGTTGTCAATGGATGGGTGATGGAACAATGTGTTGCCAAACTAGATGGGGTTAAGTTCAATATGGTTTTTCATGAGTCAGCTTGTGAGATCCCAACTGTTGCTCTATATCTAATAGCTGACTCAAAGGAGTTGCATATTCCAGCATTGTGCTTTGCAACATTATTCTCATGGGAACTGTTTGATAGCCGTTTTTCAGACCCATTTCTTATTGATGTAACACCTGATCCACATTCAAGTCTTAGTATAATCATCGCTATGATATCAATGTTGTTCTACTCGAACCTTGAGGACAAGGTTCTTATTGAGGATGGGGGTATTGTTATGAATGAAAATAACATCTTGGAGGACATATTGGTAAATTTAGCAAGTTATGTATGGGACCCGGGTTAGAAAATGGATAAATACTACTAGTTAGTAAAAAGGGTATGCATATTGTTGAGTAAAAGGTCTACTTCTCATTTCTTTCTCCGAGTGTCTGTATCCTCTGATCTCCTTGCTCTGAGTCTGAGCTTCTCATCCTTTCTTCTCTATCTTTTGTATTTCAGTTTAGTATCTCTAATTCCTGTAATAGTCTTGAGTTGAGTTGTAATTTCTTGTCACTGTTGAAGTAATAGAAGTGTTAGAAAAACTGGTTTGTTACAGATTCCAATTTCATTAATCACTAGCTCAAAAGAGAAAAGAGAATTTATTCGATGCACGCGATTGTACGTCTGTTTAGTTATAAGAAGCTGATATCATATAAACTTCAGACATCAAATAGGTTTGGCAACATATGCAACTTTTCTTCAGAATTTGGTTCCAACAAGTTTCATATTATATCAAGACCTCATTGAGGTAACAATGCCACCTTCCAAAAAACAAAAGGGAATACGATGCTTTTTACCCGGCAAATAACAAAATATGATGCTGAAACCAATCCAATCAAGCCATTTACTTTGCAAGCTTCAAGCCTTGCTCTAATGACAAGGGAGAATGATAAAAAGTTAACTCCTTCGCATAAATGATTGGCAAGCGTATATGGTGAAAACTAAAAATAGTTGTTACAGTCATAGGTTGAGGAACAAACTCAAAATGTTAAATATCAATAATCAAGTAAGCACCACATACACACACACACACCATACATATCAATAAGTTTTCCCGGTATGTTACACAGATCAGATATACCGTAGTTAGGGATGGCAAATGGCGCAGGGCGGTGCGGTTGCGGGGCAAACCCTCGAAGACTTCAACCCGCCCCACCCGGCAAAGCAAATTTGCTGTTTTTAACAGCCCGCCCGCGCAAACGGTCCGTAGTATTCATTCTGTCTAATTTACTAGAGACTAAAAGGAACACCGAAAGAATTCAGTCAAACTTACTCTGGACTTAAGTATGCCATCATAATCCGCTTGACATGAATTTTGTTACATCACTTACTAAGTAGGTGAGTGCAAAATACAGTAAAGCTAATTCTGTGCTTCTTTGAATATATTCTCAATGAAGAAAAAAAAAAGATAACTTCTCAATGAAAAATCACATACTCGTGACAAATTCTTATAAAAATGGTGTGCATCTGATAAGAGAAGTAAAGCAAAAAGCCTATATAGAGAGTAAAATCACCTGCACTCATTCCGGAGACGCTGATTGTTGTATCCTGCTGTCGTCACCGTGATTTCGTTCGGAAGTCTGATAACAGACGGAGCAGAGAAGCTTTACCGGGAGGAGCAAAAGAGTCTTTTTGCTGGGCTTCAATTGGTGGCCCAACTCCTCCGGTCTCCGGAAGACAAGATGGGCTGGTCTCAATGATGTTAATAGATTTTGATCCGTATTACTGCTCTATTATATTGGGAAATTACCAGTTATGTCACTTTACAAACTTTTCTAACAAAAAATAGCCCAGAACAAAATATCTATTAAAAAAGGCCCAATTGTCATTTTTGGTCCAAATAGTTTCAATTAATGTCAGTTTTTTTTGTATCCGTTATTTTTCGTATAGAAAACCAATTTGTCTATACACTTTAAGCGTACCATAGATTTTGTCCTTCTAGGACTTATTCTAATAGGAGCATTTGTAGTAAAATATAGTTACTTTATTTGGGCCAGCAAATGCGTCTGGCATGCGTTGCAATATATTGCAAATGAATTATCTTTTTTATGAACTTCAAGTTCATATTATTTTATTCGAGGATTTAGGTGTACAAATGATAATTCATTCCACATAACTTTTTCTCAACTATTTATCATGTCTCCCCCTCATGTTAGAAAAACTAACTTGTTTCCTCAACTTTTGAGAATCCATCTTTGTGCGTTATGATGTTAATCAAAATATACACCGCACATCAATAATAATAAGATGAAATTATTTGGTTCCTCAACCTGAACCACTTGTGAGGGGAGAATGTAATATACTTTCGTATATAACCTATATCAAACTGATATAGATAACTTTGTTCTCATAAGCAATAGTTTAGCTATTAAGTGGAGGCACTCAATAAATTATTTTGCTAAACCAACTGTGATGTAAACCAACTTATCAAGATAAACTATCTTGAATAAAAAATCTGAAAATTATGCTCTAAATTAAATTATTGAGCAAGATACCTCGCAAACACCAGGTTGCAGGTTAATAATAATCGCACATGTAACCATCTCATAAATGCATCTTATGTGGTATACATGGAAGATGAATGGGCTCATATTCACCTTTGATATTTCCAGCATTCGTGGGATTCAATCCCGATTTTAGTTGGTCTATTAATTAATAAGAACAAGCAACGTAGGAGAATTCGTAAAGAACTTTCTAGTTCTTTAATATTTGCCCATATGAACTCTCTTTTATTTTTGCACATCATACTTAAATTGATATGGCTAAAGTAGTTATGCCAACTTGATAAATTATCAATATTGATAAAGTTCAGGTTTACACCATGACACGTGCAATTATCAATAAACTCCAAGTTTATTATGATATGGGTTTATATATCAATAAACATCCACTTTATTTTGGTACTCTTTTATTTATGTAGTACAAACTGGAGAATAAAGCGGGTAACTTTTCACATACATATTACCCCGCTACAAGTTGTAGTAATAGAAGATATATAATCTTTCTTTATATTTATAGTGTCAATATAACCAACCTCTTTCGCTATACTTTGGAAACTGAATAAGTTTCTTCGAGACTTACTACAACACAATACCTTATTGGTAATCAATTGTGTTTCTCCAAAATAGTATAATTGGCTCTTGCAGAGTTCTCAATTAATTTTGTACTATCACATTCATCAACATCCATATGCTGAATATCTCTTTTAAGGAGAAAGTTATACCATTATGGTCATGATCAAAATTATATGCAAGATATGCTTCTTGCATTATTGTTGTCCTTTAATAATCACATTGCCAAAATATTTTGGCGTACAATAGGTACGTGACCAATGACCATTCATGCTATAATAATGACAATATTTTCTTATATCATCTCAAACCTCCTTCTAGAGGTGGGTGTGGTATATTCACTACCACTAGCACGTTCATATTCTTCCAAGAATGAATGTTTATTCATAAATCAAATGTTGTCACATTCACATCATGAATGGACCATAATCATCTATATGTGCTTTATAAAATCTCATGTCAAATCGATGACAAATATTACTTTCACAAAGTGACGAATTATTATGATCATCCTTATTATTTCATTATCACAATGATGACGGTTATAATTTCGTCTGTTGCCACGTCCACATCCATTGATACATTCATAGTAATAATTTTATCTTCTTTCAGACTTATCACATATTACTATCACATTCTCTTAAGGGGATGAGAATGAAGGAAATTAAATGGGACGAGTTTTCACTTCTTGTACCCACAATCATACATGAATTTGATCATGGCAAGGCATGAAAATTTATCACTTCACGTGGTTATAATTTTTTACAAACTCTATTAGAGTTATAATCAAGATTTATCGTCTTTGCTTGTATATAAGATCAAATTATAGAATTTCAAAAATTTAAAAGAGAAAAAATAAGGTGAAATACTTACCTTAAATCCAGAATTTAATCATGAAGGAAGTTCATGGAAGAATTGACAATCATTGTGCTCAATCCCAAAGCTTCTACTTAATTGGTTAGAGTCTCGTGCTGATAACGTGTTATGAACAGTAAAAGAAGAAGAAGAATATTGCAGAGAAAAGAAGAGAGAGAGAGAATTCTTATTGATTTGGGATCAATTACAATGGAATAGAACCCTTATATTTATAGGGGAAAAGTGACTTAGCCACCAAGTAACAAGCCCTAAAATCTTTCTAAATATAGACATTCACCTTAAATAGAATTCTATTTATAACAATAAGTTGGAAAACCCAACTTTTTCGAAATTAGCTTAAAAGCCATATTGCTTTGACCAAATATATTACATTTCTATCCCTTATAATTTTTCTTAATTCCGAAATTACCCCTCAGTAGAAAACCCTACAACATACCATCTTTTTCTTTTCTCCAATCTTGTTGCAGCAGCCTTCTTCTCCATTCTTGTTACAACGTACTCTGCTTTCTTTTTCGTCTTCTTCCATAACTTTCTTTCTTTTCCTTTCATTTCCTTCTTTACACTTCATTCATTATTTTTCCCTTTTTTTCTTTTCCTTTCATTTCTTTGTTTACGCGCCCCTCCTATTTTTCAGTAAAACACTTTTACATTTGGTTTACTAATATTAGACCAAATATATATACTGCTCATTTCTGTAAATTTTATTGGTCGTAACTACGACTTTTGTGGCTAATTTGCCAACTTTTTCTTTTATCTTTTTTGGGGGTTTTCATTTTTCCACTCAAGAATAGCATCAGCAGCAACTCAAGAATGGATTTGATTAACAAAGAAAACGTATAGAGGGTTTATGACAAATGATGAGAATAATTAACTATCTCCATTCTTTGGCCAATTGCTTTCTTTTTAGAGTAAACAAAGGATTAATTTTGAAGATTTCAACTTGAAATTTCTAATGGATTCTTGGAAAGGGGTTGATGAATGAGAAGCTATGAACGAATAAATATTATAGTAATCATCTTCTTTATAATGTTAATAACTTTAAGGATATTTCAGTCATTTTAACAAGAAAAAGTGTTTACCAGCACTTCTTTACCAAACACTTCATCAGCTTTTTTTCAGTTTCAGCACTTTTATCCAAACACGTAACTGCTTATTTATAAAACAAGTTCCAACATTTATAATGTGCTTTTAAGCACTTAACTTAAAAGTCACTTATTTTAAGTCAATCCAAACGGGCTCATAGTGTGACTCACAAGCGGGATCTAAGAATAGTGCAGTGTATGCAGACTTTACCTCTTGTGTGAGATAGAAATATTATTTCTAATAGACCTTCGGCTCAAAAAAAATATTTTCAAAATATACTTGAAAAATAAAAGAGTAAAAAAGCTAAGATTAATTTGTGACTCATATGACTAAATATTCGATTTAATAAAAATACTAAGTGCAAGTACTCCCTCTGTTCACTTTTACTTGTCCACAACAGACTTTGCACTCCCCTTAAGAAGGAATAAATTTATAATACTCATAATGATAGTATTTTAAAAGATCTTGAAAAATAATTTAGGAAATGAGCTGTTAATGATAAAATAAAACTACAATATTTTTTTATCTTTTTCTTGATTTGCTAAAATGAATAAGTAAAAGTGAAACTGCATTTTTAATATAATGGACAAATAAAAGTAAATTGAGAAGTATTTATTTACGTTTAAAGATATTTATTTACCGTTTAAAATCAACTTGAACCACCGAAAGCTGAAAAGATTGGCCAAAGTTACAGGGCTCCTCTCTTCAAGTCCACTAAGCCCCTTAGCAAGAAAAGACCACGTAGAGCGTCTAGCTCTGAAAGGTTTAATTTAACAAAACAAAATAATTGACAAAACACAAACACATTGAGTTTTACCACAAAGATTTGTATAAGCATGGTGCACAAAATGCCAATTCGGTGACTCAAATATACCTTTAACAGCAGCATGCTTAAGGCCACCAGCGACGTCTTATTCTGAAACTCTAATTCAGGGTCCGTTGTCTATATTTTTAACTTTTTATTTGATTCATTTTTCTTTGTAATCCTTAATTCAAGATATTAATCTTTTATAACCTTTGTGATCGATAAGCTGACTGGGACTGAACTTAGAAGTCCTTAAAACGAGCTAAAAAAACTTTTAAAGTTGAAATGTTGTCGAGCTCATTTTGCAAAAAACTTAAGTTTTATTTATATCGCCTTTCCCTGCAAATTCTCCCTAGCGTAGCGGCCAGCTTCCCTCACCCTAAAAGAAACGGAACACTAAATTCTCTCTTTAGTGCCTTCCCAAATTCCAGAACGTTTACCAATATTTCCTAGAAACAAACACACTGGTAAATGACAGCACAAATGTCTAATAGAGAAATTGCAATCACATCATTCTCCATTGTAGTCCTTAGCATTGCAATCACATCATGAAAACAAGAAATGCTCTTGCTGTCTTGCATATAGAGGTTTGCAAGGTCGGATTGCAAACTCTTGCTTGATGTTCTAATTATTGGAAATACAGCCCTGCACTTCACGGTCCAGACACTTGAGGAATATTCATCACTTGAATCAGTCAATGTTCCTTTCTTTTCATAGGAACTATAATAGCAGTAACGAAAATAAGGAACTACAAAGCTGCAAACTAGAGGGACAGTGTGTTTGCAGCAAAGCAAAAGCTTTCTACCCCCAAAAATGGATTCCTGAAGCAGGCAATATCCAGGGAACAATGTACAGTTTACAGCCGAAAACTTCTTAGGTTTCCTCAGAAGAAATGTGTACAAGGATTTACAGAAAATACTGGTCGTAATACTGCTCCTATAGTAGATGGATATTGATGTGCCACATATCCGGAAACGTGCTTCTGTTCCGATTGGCAACAATTGAATAATATACATCTGCAGCATAAGTAGCTAAGCTACTCTATGAGAATGAGTGTCAAGTGGTGTCAACCTACACATATGGGGGTGCTGAACTACCACTAAAACCGAACTCTTTAAGCTTCCTTTTTTGGACGAAGTTGGCTGCAAGATAGAATTTGATTTAGTACAGAATACGGATATCAAATATAACCAGCTGAACCAAAATAATTGCGACAAATATCAAGAACCATTCAGCCATGAAATATATATGAAGGAAATTGGCTTGTTGAAATTGAAGAAACTCTAATAAGTTCTAATTGAGAGTCAATTAATAACATCAGTACAAAGAAGTTCTGAAGCCTGATGTGGGGTAGGGAAAACTTGAGAACAATTCTAGCCTATAGGCAAATGAATACTCACCACCCCTATGTGCCATCCATGACTACTGAAGTCTTTAAAAGTAGTTGCATCCATCTCCTGCAGTAGCACAATTAAAGATCAGAGATTTGGGGAATCATACAGCTGTATGTTTGTTTGTAAGTAGATACTATGAGATATACACCTTAATCCAGCTACTAGACAAGCCATATGTCTATGTTGAGATCTCATTAACTCATGTCCCAAGTTACTTAAAGTTAAATAGCAAAACAAGAAGCTACGGAAACTACAAAAAGAAGGCTGCACACGAGACATTCCAAATAAAAATTTGCACTGAAAATGAAAAGAGGAACTAAGGCTACAGTCATTTATTCTATATGCAGTTACTCCTTGCTGGGGGTAGTCGGCAGGGGTATGTTCGGGATAAGGATCTGGCTTAGGTCTTGCAAATATGTGGGAGAAGGGGCGAGGAATCAGGAAAGAGAAAGGAGCATTGAGAAATCATTATGTACTGATCAAGTTTCTCATTTATGCTCTTGTTAATATTTAGTATTTCCATTCAAACAAGGAGATCATGATCTTCTCATTCCATTTCCATTGTCCTCGCTAATATCAAACCTCAGACAAAAGATAGACAATATTCATCAAGCTCAGTCAACTCTAAGAAGGCAATTAGAATTCTGGTATCATAGAGAGACTTACAATGCTATAGATGGGAGGCACCATTCTCTCTCCAATAGACTTTATTACAGGCATAACAGAAAAGCGTGGTGCCAAGTCCTTTGACCTAAAGGTCCACCTGAGATAAACAAAAGTTTAATGTATTCTCCGGTTACAAGTTGAGAAGGAAGCTTTCCAACTAAAATAACCAGAAAATTGACTCAAATTTTCACTTACCCAATGTAAGAGAGTATAGAGAACTGTGCCCATTCTCGTACCAACAATCGGAGCCAATAGTTATGTATTGAATTATCCACATTTATCAGAATCTGGCAATTAAAATACCTGATTATCACAAGATTTTAGAGTAGAAAATGACTACTAAGAACAATAAAGGTGGGTGTCCATACCGCCAGTTCTGCCACTGCCAACATAAGCATTGCATTTTGAAATTTTCTGTACAATCACACAGATAAAAAATTAAAGCTCAATAATTTATGAAACACTGAATCCAGCAATATAGGGTACCATATGAAACTAAGCGAATATTGCATACTTGAGCATTATGTACTTTGTGTAGATTGCTTCATGCATTGCAGGGATTTCCTCATCTTCTATAAAGGTCAACTGTTCTTGCAGAACTACTAAGTTCTGTGATATGTGGTTGAATATTACATAAAATGAAACGAAATAGCTAAGTGTGAGAAGTACCTGTATTATACACAGTTATAGAACATCAATATCAGGTGTGAGCAATAATGAAAAGAAAAAAAAAACAGTAATGCAGTAGGCAATGCTGCACACTCTTTCAAGTGGGAACAACCTAGTGGACTCACAGAGAAATAGGGTACAGAAGCTCTGTAGCCGACAAGAGTCAAGTAGAAAATAGATCCGAGAGCAGCTGTCATGCGGCGCTCTTGTATTGAAAGACGCTCGCACGTGATGCAGTATCCATAAGAAATGAGCAGGAATGAAACAAAAGTTACTGTTTGGAAGAGAACTCCTGTAACATAGACACCAAATGATATCCACAGAGAGCACACGTGATGATAAAAGCATGAATACCTGCAAGACGACGTCAAATAGAAGAACAATAAGAGAACGTAGAAGCAGTAGAACATCCAATGAGCAAGTTTAACTTCAGAATGAATATACATACATCTGTTTTATTCATGAAATAGCTAGAGAACATAAACTAAGGTGTTAAATTTAAAAAACTTTTAATATGTTAGGAAATTCTATCATCTAAGAGACCTTAGCAGGCCATGATTAAGTAGTTAAAAAAGCAGTTCTCAATTCGGATTGACTAGTTGTTTCACAAATTTGCATCAAACAGTCAAATTTTGGGAAACAAGAATAAATGGCATAAATGCCTTACCAGAAGAGGAAAGATAGGGTAAGTTGCAGAGTTTTGATAAGTGGAACAGAAGCCAGCGTCCATTGCAATCTGTTCGTCTGTTCTAGTGCACATAAACGACAAGATTATAGAAAGAAATTCCATAGCTCGACACCAAAAGATAAATAAAACTACTAAATTATTTGCACAAAAAGAAAAAAAAGGATTGCCAAACGCATAACTCAGAGAAATTGATTAACGAATAAAATTAAACCTCGACAAATCATATAGGCAACAATTCCTTTAGAGGAGCTTAATCATTTATAAAGAACGAACAAATTCATGACTGCCGAAATATTGTACTGACCGAATATTTTAACACCAAAAGTTAAGCTAAAAACATTGATCAGATAATGATAAAAAACATAAGAAACTAATTCAAAAGTGAGAGTGGAAAGAAAGAAGAGAAATAGAAAAGGAAATTGACCTGAAAATGGCGGTTTTTGCAAGTATTGAAAGTCCAGGAACAGACAGAGACGAACCAAATTAACGTCAAAATGAAATAAAGAGGAGGAAGCGTCCGGTACTCTTCGTCTATTTTGCTGGAATCATGTAAATTTTCCATAATTCCCCTACTTCCAATCCAAACACCCACCTTCTGCTTATTTTCATTCTCAACTCCAGGCCATTGCCCTTTCTATTTATACGCACGCAGCACGCACGTTCTCCTTTTTTGCTTTTCCTCCTTTTTCCCTTTTCTTTTTGTTGTTTTTCTTCTTCCTATATTTTCTCTTTTTCCTCTTTTTGCCTTTTTGGCTTCGAATTTCAACTACTACTACTAGTCTTCTTCTTCTTCTACTACTATTATTTTACGGTTAAAATTAATTTCTTGTTATACTCCCTTCGTTTCACTTTAAGTAATTTTTTGACTTTTTTTTTTACATATATTAAGGAATTCATCTTTTAATATTAATTAACAATAAAATTGACCATATTAATCTAATTTGCTTATTGAAAATATAATAAACTGCTCCTACGCTCTTTACTCCGATGACTACTTTGGAAAGAAGAAGTTAATTCATTCTTGATATCTGAAAAAAGTAAATATTGTAGACGACAAAAATAATCAAAAAATCACTTAAAAGTGGACCAGAGTGAGTATTTTTATTAACTTTTTCCTATTCCACTCTTATAGTCCCTCCTTCAACACGAATAATTTTTTGCATATGTAAGGAAAGAGGGGTTTTTATTAATATGCACATACTATATTCTCGTAATGATGATTTTTTTTTTTTATATCATTTGGATGTTATATATAGTATTTTAGTATATAAATCAGCCTTGTAATTGGTTTGCTATTGGTACACTTTTATTTATTTCTTAAATCGTATAATCTAGTGTTCAATTGTGATATAAGTGATTATAAAAGTTATTTGATATAATTAAGAATATTAATTTTATTTTAACAAAATAAAAAATTATAGTTTACATTCCCATATCTTTTTAAATATTATCGAACGTGATTAACAATCAAAGTGCATTTACTTAACACTGGAAATGAACATATATAAAACCATTTAACAAGTCACTTAGAGCCCGTTTGGATTGGCTTATTTTAAGCTCTGTTTTAAAAGGCAGAATTGGGACTTGCCCGGGGCTCGCCCCGGGGCGGAGCACTCGTAAAACGCCCCTGGGCTTATGTGTGGGGCTTAGTTCCGTGAGACTTACGCCTTGGCCATCGGGGCTTACGCCTTGGCCATCGGGGCTTACGCCCCGGACACGCCCAACGCCCAGCGTACTGGGCTCGCCTAATAGAACTTTATGCAATTTTATGTAATTAACCTTGTAAATTCTCAAATTTGCTTAATAAATCGTTGACTATTCAAAATTACTTTTTTCTTAATTATAAATCATTAAGTTGAGAGTATTTTATATCATAATTAAAATATAAATTATTGCACGTTATCCACTAAGACTGCTATGATAGTTAATTTTAAATAAATCTTTCATTTAAAAGGTATTTATTTATTAACTTTGTTATGTCTTTACTATATAATAGTCCATAATTTTTATAATTATTTTTTAAAAATTTTTTTCACGTTTACGAGATACAATACTTATTAGTTTAATAGACAGTATTAGCTAGTAACTATTTACAAATAATTAGTTATCATGGTATTGTATGGTAAATTATGTATCACTTTATTAACTTGTTGGAACTTAAAAATAAATGATGCTAGAGAATCATATTTAAATTATGAATTATGTTTTTATATAAATTCTCTTTCAAATAGAAAGCATATTAAATAAAAGGAGTATTTTAAGAAAATATCAAATTATAATATTCGAAATTCTTTCAAGATTCATTACTCCTTAACAGATACATATAATATTTCGTATCGAATACATTACCTTTGATGTTTGAGTTGTAACGATGTTGCTGTTAATTTGCATATTATGATATATGTCATACTTTTCGTATTATTGATAGTTGAATTATAATTTATAAATATTTTAAATAGATTATTTGTTATAATTTTTTGATTTTAATGTAATTTTATAATTATTTTTTATTTTATACTATCTTAAAATTCTTGAAATCGGTAAAATTTAAAGATCCGTGGGACTTACGCCCCATGTCTCAGGGCTTACGCCTCGCCTCGTCAGAGGTAAAACGCCTCGCCTCACGCCCCCGCTTTTTAAAACATTGATTTTAAGTGCTTTTGAGCCAAGATAGCTTTTAAGCCATTTTGTAGTGTTTGGATAAAATAAAAAAAAATGCTTTTAAGCACTTATTTTTAAGCTAAAATGACAAAAACAAGCTAAAAGCCAAAAGCTAGAAATCCTAACTTATGGCTAGGGGTGTTCACGGTTCGGTTTGGTCGGTTTTTGATTAAAACCAAAACCAAACCAATTTAATCGGTTTTTAAAATTTTAAAACCAAAACCAAACCAAATTAAATACAAACCATCGGTTTGATTGTTGTTGGTTTGGTTCGGTTTTTCGATTCTTAGTAAGCTAATGATAAGTCGATAATATTAAAACAACGCTAGACAACAATCTGAAAATAATTTGCCAAATTTATGCTTTTTATATATTTCTTTGAGAACTGAAAGTTTATTTACATGTTTATATGAAAAGAATGAACAAAAAACAAACTATAAGGTTGCTTTCTCAAGCTTTAGCCATTGTTGTCTTGCAATTTGAATGTGCTTTATTTACTCTTGTGGTGGTTTTTTTTTACCTCTTCTTTTAGGCAAAAGTATGTGCGGAGGATTAGAGAATTAGAGTCTATTAATGAAAAGAAAATTGGTCGAATCCTATTATTTTGGGCTTAGGCAATCTTTTAAGATATAACAGGATAAACCAAAATTCAAAATAACAATTAAAATTATTAACAAAAAGATATTATATTGTATATAAATAATTATTAAATTTTGTATATAATTAATCGGTTTAGTTCAGTTTATTTTTCGGTTTTTTAAAATAGAACCAAAACCAAACCAAATATTATCGGTTTTTAAAATTTAAAACTAAAACCAATCCAAATAAAAAAAAATATCGATTTACTTAATCGGTTTGGTTCGATTTTCGGTTTGGATCGGTTTTCCGTCAAACCGTAAACACCCCTACTTATGGCTTAAAAGCTATTTTGGCTTAAAAGCTACTTAAAATAAGTCCATCCAAACGGGCTCTTAATCTTTACTTAATTGGATATGATATATAGTTATTAATATCAAGTTATGGTTACTTAACTTGGGGTTCAAGGACTAATGCACATGCCCAATTGATCAAAGAAGTTAAGAATGTAAGATTCCCTAGAAACGACTTAAGCTAAAGTTGAGTATTATCGCTTTTATAGAGTATTAGAGTTGGTATTCATGAGTATTAATTACATGTTTTACTAGTATTATAATGTATTATAAGACGTGATATTGAATTCTAGTAGTACTTAATATAGCAGAATTAAAGTAGTGAATACTTATACGGAATCCATTTATTAGAGATTGACTTAGTCAAGTCATGGTTCAATATGGCGTGTTAAATTAACCATTGTCCATTGGTGATCTCTTCTAATTAATTAAATTAACCATTGTCCATTGGTGATCTCTTCTAATTAATTCTAACAAATTCTTTTTGGCCAAAATTTAGAGTTTATGGGGTCTAAATATGCCACATAATTCATAGTTTGTTTTAGTTGTTCACAATTAAATATTTATATATATTTAATGAATTTTCTAGTACAAATTTAGTATTTGAACAAAAGCGACTAAGTTCGCCCGAACCCACATCTAATATGCTAGTTCCGCCTCTAAACTTGACAGTTTTATGACTTATACTTCTCCAAATCCATATTAACTGTCTTTATATACCTCTTAAAAAGGCATGTAATAGCCGTAGTATTTGTCTAAAATTATTCTTTATCTCTTTTTAAATGTCACTTAATTAACATTTTACTAATTGAAATAACAAAGATAAATTAACTTGAAAATAAATTAATAAACAATTTCTAAAACATCAAATATTATAAGATAAATGCTCCTAAATTATAATATTTGGGATGTAATATCTTTTTTTAGTGTTGGTCAAAATATGCAAAACTCACGAGCTACATTAATTAGAGAAAATGGGTGGAATAAAGTTGTTGAAAGTGCATAATGATGATGTGATGCAACAAAACCATCTCTCCCCTTGTAGACGTGCTTAGCTGCAATAACTTCGTGCTATTATCTAACTGAACCATTCAAACAGAATATGTGACACGCATTCATAAGACCAAAATAATAAAATATTGATCAACCACTATAACCATGTTATATATTTTCCTATATTTTTAACATCTATATTTATTTAAAGCTCATTAAAATTAAAATTATATCATTGGATTTTAAAAAAAAAATGAACAATATGGCCAGAGAATTTAGGGTATATGGATAAGGAGGAAGATATCAATTTGATGAACAACTTTGCAAACTTTTGGGCAAATTAAGGGGCGACTGATGGCTGACTTTTGAAATAATTCAAAGCAAATCCTTCAGATTTAATTTAATGTTTTGCTTACGTAGTTTAGCATAATTATCTCAACTATATTAGTTGAACAAACTCAATTGCAAAATTCAGTTTCTTTCATCCCACTCCATTAACACATGCACGTTTCTCAGGTAAATGATAAACCAGAATTAATTAAAATTTAAAAAAATAAAAATAAAGACTTCCACTGCCTTTAACTAAAATAATGGTGCATGATATTGGTCCTATAATAAGAAAAAAGATGTCAAATTCAGAATAATTCATGCATTCACTTGATAATTCTCCGTCGAAAGTCGAGACTAATAAAACAGATAGGTTTTCTTATTATTACACTGGATGGACTTTTTTTTCTTTTAAATAAAAGTAATTCTCGTCCAAATAAATTATTAGCTTAAATTTCAGAGGGTGTTTGGCTAAGCTTATAAGCTGGTCAAAATGGCTTATAAGCACTTTTTGGCTTATCTACGCGTTTGGTAAAATTAAAAGTGCTTATAAGTTAAGTGCTTATAAGCCGAAAATAAGCCAAAAGTCAAAAGTTGGTCTCCCCCAACTTATCAAATTTCAGCTTATAAGCAGTTTAAGTTTGACCAAAATATTTACTATTCTATCTCTAAAATACTTCTTTTTAAAACAAAACTCTTCGTATACCCGGTTCTTTAGCTGCATATTATTAATTTCAGCACTTTTATCCAAACACG